CGTTCTTGTTTTTCGTCTCGACTTTCTGGAATCTGGACTTGGGTTTTTGCTCACACTTGTCTTTGCGATTTTCGTCTCGATTGCATTATGTGTACAATTACTGAATGTATGGATGTATGGATGATATGCCTGCTTGTCTATCTTTTGCTGAAACTCCTTGTCCTTGCTTTTGTTTGTGACGAATCATTGCCTGCACCTGATACAGCTGTAGAGAGGATACGAAATTGGCCCCGATAGCGATTTTGTTCTCGTTGTTGCTCGGGTTTGGGTGTGGTTGCATCTCGCATAACCAAACCTATGGAGCCATTAGACAATCCGATGTTGGGCCCTGCGAACGCCGCGCGAAGACACGTGTAAACACGATCCGAATCGCTCGTTTACACGCCTCCCCGTGTGTCGATCCGCCCACCCAAAAAGATTCGCGGTGAAACCATCATCCCGCACGAGCACGCTGAGGCTCAACTAAGTTCACCCGTCCTACACGTGCTCGTGCGAGGTGACGATAACCCGACCAGAGCCATCCCATACAAGATGATACCATAACGCGATCTTGGAACTCAGACTCATCCTACGACTCGGATGGATAAACAAACTCCTAAGGTTGCAATACCCCTGCCACACGGAGAATCGACTGTGTCCGCGGGAATTCCACTGCGCCACCACTAGCGACCCCCGGTGTTCTGGTGTCCCTTCCCTCGACCATACCTACTACTTCACCCACCCGGGATTTGTCGTCATCACCACCAATTTCCCTCCTTTTCGCCTCCTTCTCCCGTATCATCAACTCAGCGTCGTTCCGTGGCCGGCCGTAGCCCCCTATTGGCCCAGCACGCCTTGCAGGCATTGTCGACGTAGCAGCGAACGGAGAACCCCGGAATTCCGAAGGCCCAACCCACATACGCAGCGGCCTGCGCCACGTGTCGCCCCCGACGGCCCAACTTTTCAGGACCGCCTCCTCCGCGGAAGGACTTCCCCGCAAACCGTCGCCCACAGTACCCCGGCCCCATCGGGCCTTGAGTCCCACGCGCCCCTTGCTTGTCTAATTGCATTCATACCCCTAAGACTCCCCCGCTTTTCCCGAAAATCCTTGGCACACCCCTTTTCGCACTTCCAGGCCCACATCCCACTCCGATCAGGAAGTTGCGTCGGGCGTGAGGTTGGTATCGGAGCCCGACACGTGGCTAGGGTCTTAGGATTGATAGCACGTTAATTAGGCGACCTGGCTAACCGTGTGCGACCTCGTCCTCGGAACGCGCATCGACGCGACCCTATCGTTACTCGAAGCAGATCGGCTAACCGACGAGCAGCCAATATGGCTGCCAATGTGCCAAATCCGATTCCGCAACAGAATGTTAATCCACCAAATCAACCCGCCCCACGTGCACGAGCTCCCATGACGCCACCTGATCTCTATCTGTTTGATCCAGCGCATCATCTCGCAGGAGCATGGCTTGCCACGCTCAGAGCACAGCAGTACGATGATCACAAAGCACAGAGTAACATTCCGGCTCAAATGGGAGGAGACGCTCATCATTGGTATAGTACCTACGTATGGGTTGATCTCCCGACCTTCGAACGAGATTTCATGAACCGATGTGATTATGTCCACCTCGAGCAAGCACAGTACATGATCAAGGACCGAGTACAAAAACCTCTCGAATCCGTTGCAGAATATCGAAACCGGTTCTATAGAATGTTCGTGAAAACTGAGCGCGGTGAGCAAGTAGGGAGAGATTTGTTCATTGACGGGCTTCGCAGCCGGACAATAAGGGCTAAGTTGCGAAAGCAATTTTCCCCCATCACTCACACGTTACAACAAATCATGGCTGCTGCGGAGGAAATGGAACGGAAGTTCGCAGCAAACTTCCTGGAAGGAGAAGATTATCCTAGAGAAGGAGATTCKACTGAACTCGCAMGAGCGARAGCTGAGTTGGYTGCCTTGCARAACAAGTTTRAAAACATGGGATTTGTATCAGGACCTGTCACCTATATGGAACAGATAGGCCCCAAACGAGTGGTCCTAAGTGAGACTCCGAGCACCTCCGCTCTTGTGATACCCCCACCCGTCAGAGCGTTACCCCCGCCACCGATTGAGGCTCCCGTACGATCGAACGAATTAACGGTCATTTTCGAACTAACCAAAACATTAATTAATTTAATCCAGGAAAGTAAAACGGAGCATCGAGAGCACAATGCTCGACTAGAAGCCATGATAAGGAACATGCGGCCTATTGCGGTGCGCGGCCCTCCGATGCAGCAAGGATTAGCTCCGGCACCTGCTCTCGGGGGAGCCGCGAATAATCTGAATGTCTGTTATGCCTGTCATAAGCCAGGACATCTAGCCCGTGATTGCCCCCACCGACCCCCACAACAGCGGATCGGGGTCGCGCCCATGGTTGCAACCCCCATCGCTAACGGACCTGGACGAGTCGGAGCTTTGATGGAAGATGTAAAGGGTGGGGGAAGTGCCCTGGCCACCACAGAAGAAGCCGCCGAGCTAATCCCGCTAGACCAATACGTATCCCTTCATTATCCCGGGCTTGGAATGATCGGGACAATCAGACCAGCGCCAAAACCCAAAGAGGTGGCGGAGTGGCAACCGTCTTTAGGAGAAATGGAGTCGGGAGGACCCACCTTCGTCACGGGAGAAATCAATGTATTAAACATCATCCGAGCCTTGGACCATCAGATTCCACTTCCGATCGGTCATCTACTCTTGATCTCCGAGCAAGCCAATGAGCGAATGCTACAGCATTGCAAAGCAAACCGAAAGCGATTCGCCCTCGCCCGAACACCAAACGTAAAAGCCAAAAGCCCCACGCCCGACGAAAACCCAGTCGGCACATCGGATCCGATACGGGTAGGTCTAATCCAGAAAGACGACAATTTCCTATGGATTAAACCAATTCCGTGGAAATCCGCAGAATGCGATATTGAAATTTGGGGAATTCCTTACAACGCAATTATAGATTCGGGAGCAGCTGTGCTGGCTATTTCACTGAGAGTGGTCGAAAGGTCGGGTAGGAAAAATGATCTGATCATGCTCACTGAGAAAGATCAGCACGTTTCGGCAGATGAAGAAAATATCAAGACCATGGGAAGAATGACCAATGTCGCTTTCCGGTTAGGAAAAGTGCACGCGCTTGGAGATGTCGTAGTACTAGACGTTAATACGTACGATGTTCTTTTCGGACTTCCCGCTCTTGTGGCTCTACGAGCAAACTTGGATTTCGAATGAAGGTCGATTATCCTGCGAAATACAGGAGGAAAACCCTACGCTGTGCCTATGCGATTGACCCTTCATACTACCATTAACACGGTCCTACGGGTTTCGCCGCTGATGGCAGAGACCCTCCGCATGATCTCCTGGGATGAGTCCGTCGATGAAAAGTCATCGATGAAGGATGCGGGCAGCAGCGATGAGGATGATCTGGAGATCTTGGAATTAGCACGACAGCGCGTTTACTACCCGCCGCCCAAAATGATAGCAAAAACGATGCAGCTGACCAGCCGAAAAATTCAGAGGACCAAGGCGATGATCTTGGGTGAGCCCCTCGTGCAGATTTCGAGGATGGCCGATTCTTTGGAATCCCCTCAGACTCTGTATGAAGGAATCACCCCTCTCCTCGCCCGGTATAACGACAAGGGGCATTACTGTGACATTACAGATCTACCCAAATCCTTATTGACATCGGCTAAGGAAGTGAGGTTGTTACGATTGGGGGCGGAAGCAAGTTCTCTGGAACCCCTTGGGCATCTCGAAGCCGCAACAGACGAACTGGGGATAAAGATCGCAACTAAGAATGTACCATGGCATGATATTTGCGACGGGGTTACCCCAGAAGGACACGTGGCAATCCGGGAAGAAGATGCCCAGATGATGGCCATGGTGTTCTCCTGGCGATCGGACCATTCGTTCATCTCGGCGCCTCCACCCAATGTGGCAAAACAGGCGCGCATGAAACAGATTGACGTTCGGATCAGGAACCAACTATTCGAGCTACACGTTCCACAATACGTACCGAATGAAATCCACTAGGTGATTGTGGATATTCTAATGGAATATCAATGAGCGATTAGTGTAACAGACACTGACATCGGCTTATCGTTAGTAATCCAACATGAGATTCAGATATGAAATCACTCCCCGATTCATTGCAAACCTTACCGGTATTCGTTGATTGAACGCAAAAAGGCTCTCGAACGAATTCGGGAGTTCGAAGCCAGCGGCTGGATTGAACCCGCTACCGGACCTTGGTCATTTCCCGTAGTACTAGTATCCAAGAAACACGGAGCGATTCGCATTTGCATTGATTATCGCAAGTTGAATGAGATCAAGATTAAAGATGTGTATCCCCTCCCCCGGATTGATGATTTGTTGGATGCGATTGAATGTGCCAATTATTTCAGCAAGTTTGATATTCGGCATGATTTTCATCACATTCTGGTTAAAAAGGAAGATCGGCCGAAAATGGCCTTTGTGTTGTTTGAAGGCACGTGGCAGTGGGTCTGGTGTCCGATGGGGATTTGCAACGCACCGGCCACACTTCAGCGAGCGATGAACATGACGTTTCAGAATTTCATCAACAAGACACGGTTGTCACAAGGGATGATTAACTTATGCGTGATCGTGTACATGAACGATATCCTGGTCTATTCGGAAACCTATCACGGGCACGCGCAGCATATCGAATGGACGTTGGGCGCATTGAGGGACGCTGGGTTCAAGATTGCGCTCGAGAAAAACAAATTTTTCCTCTCGAAAATTTCGTTCTTGGGCTACGTCGTGACACGTGGAGGACTACGGCCGGACTCAAGAAAGGTTGCGGCGGTGAAAGAACCCCCGGTTCCCACGTCACTGACGCGGGTTCGAGCTTTCTTAGGGTTAGCATCGTACTACCGGCGCTTCATCAAGAGCTTTGCCACGATTGCACGACCATCAACAAATCTGTTAAGGAAGGACCAGCCTCTCAGCTGGGACGCGGAGTGCCAAGAGACTTTCGCAACCCTCAAGGACGCTCTGGAGACGGCCCCTATTTTGATTCGGTCGGACCCCTCGAAACAGTTCATTCTCATCACGGACTGGCAACCGGAAGCTATCTCCGCTATTTTAGCGCAGAAGGGGATCGATAGTCGTGAACAGGTCATCGAATACGCGTCACGCATGGTACCGGACGAACGGAGGAATGACTCAGCACCTCAAGGCGAATGCTATGCAGTGGTCTGGGGAATCCAACACTTCCATCCGTATCTCTACGGACAGAAGTTTCGCCTCGTGACGGATCACGAGCCTCTGCTAGCTTTGAAGAGGCTCACCAACTACACATGCATGATTGGCCGTCGGGCGGCGCGACTGCAAGAATACGACTTCGATATCGTCCATCGAAAGACGGAGCGACACGACAACGCGGACGGGCTGACACGTCTGCATCGACCTGCCAAGGTACCAAAGGGCGAGGAAATTACACCGTGGAAAGAGCCGGACCTGACCAACGAGCCTAAGTACGGACAAGTGGCAGTCTTCCCACGTGGCAAGAAGTAAAACGGTGGCGATGGGTGACGGAGGTAACCCCACTACCCCTCTCTCTCCCCTTTCCTCCTCGTCTTTCCTCTCCCTGCCTGACAAATTTTGCTATTTTTGCGAAGCTATCTCCCGCGTGTACTTGGTCTCCATGCGTCGTAACGGGGAAGGGTATGTTGATTGGATAGATTGCCGACAGTGTGTCGCACGAGCCCACGGCTCGTGCATCCAATACAAAAACGATAGTAAACCATGGTTGTGCCCCTTGTGCCGGACCGACAAGATTCCGACCGAGGCTCGCTTTTTGGATGCCACGTCAGAAGGGTTGGAAAAGACTCGGAAGTTTAGAAGGGCCGAAGTATGGACTAATATTGCCTTGATTGCCACCTTGGTTGACAACCCCCTCCAGGATTTCACCAAGGAAGATCGGAGGAGGGCCAACGAGAGGGCCCGGGATTACAGATGGATAGAGGGCAAATTAGAAAACGGAAAACAAACGGCAGTGGGATTTGGATGGTTGTGTCGCATCCATTCATGCGGTATGACTGGGTTAAGACGACGTACGAGGAAACCGCGGTTCATTTTGCCGTACGAATCACGGAGTTCGCTATCGACAAAAATGAGTGGTACTGGTCCAATATCCGCGACGATGTGAAATACATCGTCGCCAACTGTCAAGTCTGCGCCGCTGATAAAGCGCCGATTCAACCCCCAAGGTCGATAGTGCCCACGGTAGTTGAGCGACCGTTTCAAAGAGTGAGCATGGATACTACCGACATAGTGGTACCTCTTGGCCCTAATAGCTGCGAATATTCAGTCCTATTGGTATTTGTCGACCATTTCTCAAAATGGATCGAGGCGTACCCTTGTCGCACACGGCAAGCCACGGAAATCGCGTGATACGTCAACCGTTTCCTCGGGATGCATCAGGATACGGAAGAGATCCTGACCGACAACGGGGCTGAATTCAGGGGAGAGGTGCTAAGGAATCTGGTCCTACATGGCGTCGCCATACAGAACACTGCACCCCACATGTCACAATCCAATGGGCTGGTCGAGAACGCTAACCGGGTGATAAAGACAACATTGCGACGAAATATTGCGACACGGGATCCAAGGCCCTGACCCGATATCGTCGATCACATCCTGGCGGTCCACCGCGGAACGCCCCACGAATCGACGGGGTTAAGCCCCTTCCAACTAAGGACCAATAGCGTCGCTTGCGTTTCGATACCAAGCCTCCCAGATGAGTCTACATTGAGCCAACAACCCACCAGGGCCACGGCTCGAGACAAGGCCAAACGACACCTAGAGCTAATGGAACGATCACTGCCCAGGCTAGCCCGAAAACGACAGAAAATGACCGAACTAGCCCAAGGCCGACAGGTCCGAAGCTACGAGGCCCGAAATGGGAATGCGGGTCCGCGGCCCCAGTACAAATTAGGGGACGTGGTGCAGGTAAGGAAATGTGCTCGCCAGGGTAAGCTAGCACCACGATTCTTCGGGCGATATCGGGTGATCGAGCTCGGGCCTAACGGCGTGGACACCGTGCGTCTCGCCCCCCAGGTCTCTGGCAGTCGATCGGCCTGTCCGATCACACGCCACGTGTCCTATCTTCGCCTCCTCTCCTTGACTCCATCTCTCTCTTCATCGGCCTCCCCCTCAGAGGAAGCCGATGACAACGATCTTATATCTCCGGCATCTCCCTCTTCCTCTTGCCCCTTCTCTGACACCCCGTCACCTCCGCCATCGCCATGAGCTTCGCCACCGAGCGGGCTTTCGGTGATCAGTTGTTGATGCCACGGGGAGAGATCTCAGCCATCCGCCAAGTGCATCATCCGCGGATCAGCCCCGACTTCTTGCGCCTTACGTAGTTCTTCTGCACCTCGGGTGTGTACGACGTGGCAGAGTTCTGGTTCACGAGCGATCCCCAGGTGGTGGTGCTGGCCGAGGCAACGGCGTTCCAACGGCGAGCGGCTCAGGGTATTAGCCACGCGTCTACCGTGGTAGTCTATAGCGGCGACATCGCCACCTTCGATCCGGCGCGGCAAGCCGCCATCAAGAGCACCTTGTACAAGTGGGGTCGTGATCTAGCCACTGATTGGGATCGACGGCTCACAAGGCACGGTGACGAGCGCTATCCTGTCGACGACATCGAGGTCAACACGCTGCGCGAGCCACCTATGGTCCTCCCTGAGCTTGCCCCCTTCCAGCCGCGCAGATGAGCCACGCGCCGATCTCGACGTTTTCCCCTCCCTCGCTCTTCCCCATCTTCTGGCGGTCCTCTCACTACCCCCGTCTCTCTTTCTATCTGAGCCTCTGGCAGTACCCATCGTTGACCCGGATCGTTGGAGGCTGTGGCGTGCAAAGTTCGTTGAGCTCTCGTTCTGCCTGCTACAAGTAGACCTGGACTGGACGTGGGAAGGCGATCAGAGGCCCGCGTCAGAAACCGTGGAGCTGCTCGTCATTCAGGCGCGGAGAACTAACGTGGCGGGAGATCTTCTGGGATTCGTCTTTGGAGCTGTGGATCGGGGATACCAATCACAGATCGTGCGCGAACTTACGATCGTGATCGTGCGACTGGTCGACGGGCTCCCCCTCGATATCGTCTCTCTGAGCGACGAAGAGCCCGTGCTGCATGTCCTCTCAAGGACTCTCGCCCCGAGCCTCCAGTGGTCGGCTTGTATCGAGGAGCGCTGGGCGGACGGCCGTTTCCCATCTCGCAGCGAGTACCTGGACATCCACAACCTAACTAACCCCCGCTTCTTTCGACAACCAACGGCGTTCAAGTGGGCAGCACTTAGAGCAGAGGAAGAAGCAGAAGAAGAATCGAAAGGAGAATTAAGGAGAGAGGTCGGAGAAGCAGTGGCCCGGTTGGCCGAGGACGAGGAAGAGGAACACGAAGCAGAAGAAGAAGCGGCGGAAGCCAAGGACGACGAAGAAGAAGAAGCAGAGGGGGAGACTTCAGAAGAAGAAGAGGAAGCCTATAGCAAGCACAGTGAGGGGGAGCAAAGTGAGGAAGAGGAGGACGAAGACGACGACGAGGGAGTGGAAAGCGGAGAAGACGATCGGGAGCCAGCGCACGACGACGAACTCGAGTGGGTGCCAAAACCGGAATGTCGAGAGGAGAATCCTGAGGCCACTGCGCAGCACAAGAAAAAGGTCGCGGAGGGAAAACGGCCAGTGATCGACCCCACACCGAACGATTCTTCCAAGGATCCCGAGCCGCCCAAGCCGGAACATGGGGTCCTTGCTGCCACGACTTTGAGCGCCGCGACGACAAAGCGCCGACCCTGATCCCGATCCTCATCCCCCTCCGCCCCCGCCCGTCCCCCAATTCGTCAACGTGTCGATGAGGGGCTTCGCCCTTCGTCCCCGATCCATATACCACCGTCCCCTTAGCCATCTCTCTTTCAATCAGTATCTTCATCGCGTCGTCTTCCCCCGTAATCCCTTCCCCATCACCACCTTCCGACATTTCTACTCCGCTCGCCTAGAGCTGATTGTCCATCCCCACCCTTCTGTTCGGTGCGCCGTCCCCGATTACCCCCTCCACGTTCTACTCCTTAGCGCCGCGTGGCGAGGTCGTAACCACATAGAAGTTTACTGCATCGTCACGGGGACATTCCCCGACTGTGAAGACCATGATCGGTTTCGCACCGACGTCCTCCGAACTCTCGTCTCCCTTTACCCAGACTACCTCGCTTCCCTTCCCCACAGTGGACAGCAATTCCCCCGCTTCCATCGCATCGTCCGCTTTCAAGATATTCCCCACAACCTCACCGTGATCGGGTGCTTCATACCCGAACTTACGATGGAGCCGCCTCGCCCTCCCTCATACGAGTATCGCCTTCCTTTCCCCCTCCCGGTTAATTACTGATGCAGCGGTAATGGACGCGTGTCGTGGCGACGGCACGAGAAAGATCCCGTCCTTGGATCGTCGAGAGCCCAATCTGAGGAATTAGTAGAAGAGCAATGTGCCACGTTGGACGACGTCCACAGGCAATTGAACGGTAAGTGGCATAGAGAGAAGTGCTCCGCGTGTCGATCGATTAGAGAAATCGACACGTGTCAACAAGCAAGCAGGAGCTTGCTAATATCGGAACCCCCTGGGCGTCACATATATGACGAACCACTTTCTGTAACTCGCGATTTTCTGCGCGGTTGCAATGAGGGGTCCTAAGCTGGGAAGGTTGGGCCAATTACGGGAGATCGGGATCGGTGGAAAATTGCATCAGTGCCCTTGCTTTTTCGTCCTTTTCGTAGCTTCTTTTCATATGAGGTTGGTGTCGGAGCTGTGTGTGTCCGGGGACGGCCGGTTGATTGATTGCTCGGCTGATGGTTGGCGTGCCACCGCTCGCGCGACTAATAAATGTTGACGTCGTTTCTTCCGTTTCGGTTTCGGTCTTTTGGGCGCGGACATCGCGCGGGAATTTGCTTCGTTCTTTTTAAAATTTTCTTTTGAGTCACTTTTTGGATTTTGTCGAGCCCCGATAGCTCTCGGAATTTCGGACTTTCCCCCTGAAGGTAGATAGGAATTTAGGATTTGAGTAATTAGGATTTTTCTGTCGCGCGGCGCCTTTTGTCTACGTGCTTCTTCATGCGGCTGCAACGGTATTCGGATTAGTGGGCTCCCTTAATCGCGTGTGTAACTGTAATTTGGGCGGGCACCATCGTAACTGTATCTTTCTTCTTGCACTTCGTCTCTCCCGCCCCCCCTCTCTTTCTTTTGCTGTGATTTTTGTAAGCCGCGGCTGGCATGCTCGGATCGATGCGTGGAGAAGGGCTACGTCCCCCACGCTGCGGCCTGATCATGCAGAACGCAGGCACTCCCTCTCTAATCCCCGTTCTAAGTCTTGGTAATTTTGTGTTCTTCGTGCATGCATGCACACTATAAAATTCGGCTGCACGATTAGTTAGCTCTCTTAACCCGTTGTTGGAAGCTCGGGGTGGCGCGATCAGGAAGGGTCGGCACACGAGCGAGGAAAGAGGTGAGTAGAGTAGGAGTTGGGCGACCCGACGGGCTGGTGCCGAACGCGCGGGATTGACGTGGGCCACGACGGACTGTGGGCACGGGCGAATCAGACGGGTGCGGGA